TCATCTGACGAATTCAAATGAAATTAAGTAAACTGGTGAAAGGGTTGCATTAAAAATAAAGAGAAATGAGATAAATGGCTTGTAGGCAATTTTCAAACTAGTGGAGATGTGGAAGAACTAAGGGTCGCTTGTTTATAAATTATTTCACTCACATTTAATTCATACTTAAAATCTAACTAAATTTTAACTCAATTCCACTAATTTTAATATTTTTAATGTAATTAAATAATAAAAACCAATCATTCTTACACAATAGCTACATGTTTTTGACTTTATAATAAACTCCATTAATATGAAATTTTAAAGCTCATGCAGCTGGTTTAAGTTTCTGAAAGTTCGACTCGAGTCGATTCGTCTGAAGACTTACAAATGAGGTATTTGCGATTAAGTTCGGTTCACTATTGTTAATAAACAAACTCAATTAATTGTTCGAATGAGTCGAGCTCGACTTCTACAAACTGAATCGAGTTATGCAAACGAATATACGCTTCGAATAATCATACTTATACATTTTTCAGCCTCACACTCTCGAATGCACTCGCGTGTTCTCACACGAAAAGAAGCATATAATAGAATGGGAAAAGTATTACTAGCAATAGTTAAAAATTAATTCAAACGAGTGTTTGTTCCGTGATGGTCATGATTTCATGCGGGTGTACCTTTCTACTTTCTGTAAATGGGCCAGGTGACAACAACTTGTTGGGCCCATCCACCACGTGCTCTTTACTGTGTTAAGTAAATTAAACCCAAAAATTCCTCGGCCCAAAAGCACCGACTACCGCGTTCGCTAAAAATGAAATTCATTAACTCCATAGTGTAGATAGAAAGAATGGGAAAATATACTATGTACAAACTTTTTTTGTTCTTTTTATTATAATTAAATATTAATCGTCATTCCATATTCAATTGCTTTTAAAATACTCTTTATTTAATACTATATTTTAGAATTTATATAAAAATGATTATTTCACTTTATCCACTGTTCAGTCAACCGGGGCATAGACCATCATACTTCATCCCCTTGTATGGACATTAATCCAACGTGTTTGACGGCTCAGATAAAGACACGTCATCATGTGGTTGGGAGTTATGACCATTTTTTAGGTCTTTCATGAGAAAGAGTAGGCCTGGCCTGCTATCATATTTTGTCCCCATCCACCCTACATAATAATTGATTTTTTCTTTTCTTTTTTTTTTCCCTTAAATTATGATTTTTTAGCATGTGTACTGCAAAATTATAGAACATAACTAAATAATTTCTCACTCAAAATTTTGCAAGTAAATGTCTGGTCAATCTTAGTCAAAATTTTATAATTATTAAAGATAGTCAGCTATTTCTGCACACATTAATCTTCATGGCCAATTAATTAAGAACTACTAGTAAGCCAATTAATTAATTACTACTAGTAATTAATTAAGAATTTATTCAAAAAAAAAAAAAAAAAAACAAAATTAATAATTAAGAACTACTAGCCTACTATGTAGAACATAGAAATGCTACGTTACATAATTATTCCGTCGAGATTTGTAACCGTTAGACCATCATATAATCGTTGGGGATACGGTTACAAACCTGATGAAACAGTTCCATCAGGGGCGGAGCCAGCCTCAAATTTCACCGGAGTCGGCAATATTTTTTAGCGGGGTCATTAACCTAGTAAACAGTGTTTGAACAGTATTTTATACTAAAAATTTTGAAATTCATAGGGGTCAACTGACCCCAGCCACAAGGTGTGGCTCCGCCACTGAGTTCCATAACGAGACTGTAGTATCTCTATGTAGAAAATTGCAATTTCACAACATATATCTACTTAAAGAGTGTAAGAAAATAGTATACTCCCTTAGTCAACCAACCCACCAAATACAATTACTGGCATCAAATAAAATATTATCTCTTGTTAAGTAGAGTTCACTTATAATTATTTAACATATATTAAGAAAATAATATAAATGAAATTATAATATTTTTGAGAATAAGGTTAACCTCTCACAAAAAAAAAAAATTGTTGAAACAAAGACATATATATACTGCACCAAAAAAAAAAAAAGAAAAAAAGACAGATATATACAACATTGTACAATTAATTGAAATAATTGCAGTTTCAGTTATTTTATTTTTTTTTTTTGCCATTTTTAAAAGCAGATAATGAAGTTTATAAATATTCAGTTTAACAAACAAGTAAAACAAAATATCTAAAACCAAAATGACATAACTCAAATATTATATGTAAAGTTAAATCAGAAAAAAAAACATTGATAAAAAAATACTAAAATCTTGACACAAAAAAATAAAAAATAAAAAAACGTATATAAAACGTCCAGAAAATTCCATTCTCAACGGTCAGTCAAAAATGCACACATCTAAACAGATATGAACAGCAAGAAGAAAACGAAAAGCCAGAAAAAGACGAGTCTTTTTACTTCAATGAGCCATGTCCATTGTCCCCCCATTGGGCCATGGCAGCTGTTACCATTAATTAAATTAATTTCAAAACCCCTAAATAATCTCACTAATTACTCTTAACCACACCAAAATACAAAAGCCATTAGTAATTATAAAGAGCCAACTGTTGGCTCCCTAACGGAGCCAACAGCCAATGGAACAACTTCATGTGGGGCCGTATAATTGATTGTTGGCACCTTAACGGAGCCAACAATTAGCTCCTTAGCAATACGAAAAGTAGCTAAACTAACTAAAACCAGTCCAAAGCTCAAGCTCCCACCTTTTTTTCTCTCTCTAGCCTCTGCTTCACTCAACGAGGACAAATAAAGGCAAAAAAACAATAAACACAAAGAAGAAGGACCACATTTTTTTATTACATTTCTCTCACTCCCAGCAACGTATATACGCTGTGTTGTGTGTACGCTCGGGCGCGAGAATGGCTGAAGAAAGAAATCTCTGAAGAAAGTGAACTTGCTGCAAGAGTAAAGAATTTCTGGGTGTTTTTGTGGGTTTTTTTTTTTTTCATTTTCACAGCGTTTTTGTTTTCTTGTTTTCGTCACTTTTCCCTTTCGGATATAAATTTTAAAGCTTTGGCCTTTTGCCCATTTTTTCGCACCGCATTCGGCAAATAGTTTGTTACAGCTCATTACTGGGGCAGTTTATGCACTAATTGATGTAATTAATGTAAGATTAAATTGTTCTCTGCTTGATTTATTGTGGCCGGTGGGTTTTTTTCGCCGTTCATTCAATTTCAAGCATTTTTTTTTTTTTTTTTT